ATTCAGGGAAAAATTTCTTCAGAGACTGCTATATACAAGAATGAAAGTGCTTTCATATTTTTCATGGACTGATCTTTCTGTTGCTTCAGCTGTGCCACTGTATAGTTTGTATCAGATTCAGGTTGTTCAATTCCTTGCTCAATCACTTCCCACAGATCATGTGCCATCAAGAAAGCCTTCATTTTGACAGAACAAAAGTCATAATTTTCTCCAGTAAACACTGTTGGTACTGGAATTGAAGAAAGACTTGTTCTTGCCAATTTTATCTTTACTCATAGGCCTTAAGATCAATGGAAGCAGTGATACCAAATGTTAGCTCCTTATTTTCCTGTAGAAGAGCTCAAAAAAAAAAAAAAAAATTTGCACAACATCTTCAAGAATAAAGGAGAAAAACAGCAATGGACTTGAAGAGCCAGAAACAGGGGAAAAACAGGGAGATACTACAACTATTTTAGAAAAGAGAAAGAGTCTCAGTTCATATATTTTTTATCCAGATTACGTATTATAGAGACTTCATTTTACATATAAAATGGAAAGGTACACAAAAGTCTGAACCAAGAGACAGTGGCTATCCATAGAACATGGCTATTGCAGGCTACCATACTTTCTACTGTAGCTTAAATAAATAGATAGTCTAGTTGAGTTTTAAATAAAAGCTTCACATCCTTCAATTTTTCACTACTTTTATATCCATTGGTGCAAAATTTAAATATATGATCATGGATCAATCAAAATTGATAGGATTTTCTTCTAAAGGTATTTTGTGACAACTACTTAGACGGAGGTTATCATGTGCCATATGCACATAAAGGTCTTGCATCTGGTCTCAATCTAGAGTCATATTCTATCAAGGTATGCCCGCTTCTTAAACTAACTTTCCCAGTGTTTTTGGATATTTTTTCTTCATTACTTGGAAATGTATTTACATTATTTTGTAGTGCTACCAGAAGTCATACCTTATTAGCATGTTTGGTAAGAAGGAATGGCTAGCATTGGACAATATTAAGGAAGAAAAATAATGTCTAGTGTCTTCTAGCTGCATACCATATGCTAGTTTACGCATCCATGCTTCCACATATATAATTCAAATTGTTTACTGTCGACTTTCTTATATATAATTATACCCTGGTTCATATATGTAACTCTGTTCTTGAAATTGTGAAGATGTTTGAGAAAGTTAGCATCCAAAGTTGTGATGGTGTGCCGTGAATAGTGCAGAAGAATATGATCGACTTGGCTCACATGCATTATATGCTTTTGCCCATCCAGACTTTATGATTAATAGGTCAGTGATCAGTACTTAAACATATCAATTATTTGTTTTTATGTTGTCTTATCATATTTGCTTCATGGCACCCTTATTTTCTCTAGTTTTTCTCTGTACCTTAGGTATGGACAGTGGATGGATACAAACCTTGTAGTCCCATTGGGACCACGAAAATGCCAAGTGATATTCGATTATTTTCTTGATCCTTCTCTTAGGGTCCGTTTGATTGCAATGGTGGAAAATTGGTGGAAAGAAAATGAATTTTAGAGAATTGGAAATTAAGTGTGTTTGATTGGTATAGTTTTCCACCCGAAATTTTTTTAAATTTTGTGTTTGTTTGACTTTATTTTATATGAAAATTGTCCATGAAGATGATAATTTTCTCCATAATTGGTTATAAAATTTGTTTCTATTGCCAAAAAGTATAAACAAAAACAATTTTTTTCATCAAAATTTAGTATTCGTTTGGCTTTGTTTTATATGGAAATTGTTAATTAAAGTGAAATTTTTTTTACAATTGGTTATGAAATTTGTTTCCATTGCAAAAAAAAAAAAAATAAAAAACAGAAACATGAAATTCATTTTCCCATCAAAAAGGTGGGAAAACCAATTCCACCAAATCATGGAATTGGCACACGTGTGAGGGAATTGTGGAAAAAGTTTTCTAGAGAAAATTTGTACCATCAAACATGGCAAAGATGGATAATGGAATTTGAATTCCATTTTCCATGGAAAATATCCCCTATCAAACACACCCTTAGATCTACACGAGCGAAAAAATATAAAGAGCCATTATTGGAAATTGAAAATAAGAGATCCGTTCGACCTTCCACGCATGCTAGTATATAACGGAGGTGTCCTAAATTTTGATGAATTTTAAAAGATTATAAATTATAATAAATTTCTTGGATTTGAATAGATTTTCATAAATTTTATAAGAATCTCAAATATGGTGAAATTTCAAAAAATTTAGTTATACGGAGGGGCGGAGCAAGGAGGGACAAAAATAAAAGAAAAAAATTCTACTAGGTTACTTAAAATTAAATGGGCATT